TATCGCCAAATTCCTCACTTCCCCCCAAACCCCTCGCCCCTACTCCCTCCTCATCTTCTTCGACGCCACCCAACTCCACGACAAGTCCGAACTCCACCTCCTCGACCTCCGCCGTGAATTCGCCCTCGTCGCCTCCTCCTTCATCACCAACCACAACAACTCCAACACCAAACTCTTCTTCGCCGACATCGAGTTCCGCGAATCCCAATCTTCTTTCCACCTCTTCGGCGTCAACTCCCTCCCCCACATCCGTCTCGTCGGCCCCAACGCCAAATCGTTGAAGGATGACTCCGAACAGATGGACCAGGGCGATTTCTCTCGAATGGCTGAGTCTATGGCTGAATTCGTTGAGTCGAGAACTAAACTCACCGTGGGTCCACTCCATCGTCCTCCTATTCTTTCCAAAACGCAAATGGGTTTGATCGTTGCCCTTTTGTTGATCTCTGCTCCGTTCATCATTAAAAAGATCTTCGCCGGGGAAACTTTCTTACACGATCCCAAGATTTGGCTTTCTGGCGCTGTTTTTGTTTATTTTTTCAGCGTTTCAGGTGCAATGCATAACATAATAAGGAAGATGCCGATGTTTTTGCTGGATAGGAACGATCCGAACAAATTGATTTTCTTTTACCAAGGATCGGGGATGCAGCTTGGAGCGGAAGGGTTCGCGGTGGGTTTTCTTTATACAATTGTGGGATTGTTGCTTGCTTTCGTCACTCATGTTCTTGTTTATGTTAAGAACACGACGGCGAAGCGCGTGACGATGATTTTTGCGCTTTGCATTTCCTTTTGGGCGGTGCAGAAAGTGATTTTCTTGGACAATTGGAAGACTGGATATGGAATTCATGGATTCTGGCCTTCCAGTTGGAACTAAAGGCAATGTATTTTTTGTTTTCTAGGCTGCTATAATTCGAACCATGGTTTCGAAATTCGGAGAATTTAGTTACGAACTTGATATCAATTTAGATGTTTAACTCTGTGCGAAAGGTTTTGCTTATAGAACATACTTTGTTACAAGCTGGCATCTTTGCATGAAAAATACATTTGCTATAAGATTTTCTGATGTTAATCATAGTGTTCTGTTGAGTAATCTCTTTCATTTTTGTGCTGCGTATGGTTTCTGAATTTCTCAGAGATTCTTTGTTTTACATGTTTAGCTTCTTTTCCTTATAATGTCTGTTCTCTCAGTTCATGAATGAAAGCTTATGCGCATCGGTTTTAGTCTTTATGTAGGATTAAACCTACTGCCCTTCCATTTAGAGATGTTTTCTTTTACACGCCAGTAATCTTAATACAATATGTGTACTTGTTACCGATGCTGTTTAAGTTTATATTAAAGCATAGATTGGAATATGTCTTGTGGGATTTCATATTGTGGGCAGCAAAGGAGTCGTCGAATATGCAAGGTGTTTAGGTTTGAAAAGGTTAATCATATAGGGAATTTCTTTATATACTTGAGAACTTTGTTTAAGCCCCTTTGGCCAAGTTGCTGAAATTAGATTTGAATTTTGAGGGCCTTTTGGATGGATAGAAGGACCAACAGTTGTTTGTTAGTATTGATTATTGAGTTACATGATCCTCGAGACCACTCTTTAGTTTGGTTTCATGACTTTGACACATTTTACAGCCCTGTTTCTTCTAAAGAGTTTATGTTAAGTCTTCATGGTTGTGTCATCTCAGTTGAATGTGGAACGTGAGGCTTTTGATGATAAATAGCCACATCCGGGGAGGTAAACCTCTCTTTTGTAATGTCTATCCTTCCAAATGACTGCATTCTAGTTGTATGTTTTGGGTTCTTTTCAATCTTGTTGTATCTATATTGTTGAAAATTTGATCACTTGATAAATTGCAAACTCGGATTGAAGTTGCATATGTATTAATCTAAATGGTAGTCTAGAGATGCGCAAACGCATGGCTTTTGTTAGGTTTTTTGGCATGCAGTACTTTTTGTGTTCCCACAACTCACTGGTTGTTTAAACTGGCTGGGCAATTGGAAACTTAATTTCTCGTTATTTCTTTGTGGTTGCAACTGTTTTGCATAGAATGTCCCGGATTCTTTTTTGGAAGTTTTACTTGTTGATCTGTTTGAGCAGTGTTATTCGATTACTGGTAAGGTTTTGAAAGGTGAAGTCTTTTTTGAGTTACTTTGGAGATCAACCAATGTTTTCTGTTAAAAAAGGCTTTGAGGCAACATCAAAGCCCTTTAAGCTACTTCAATTCCCATGCAACTTTGCCTGTAAATACAGTTGTATCAATTCTCTTTTATTGCATATGAATTTTCCCTAGATTTACAAGCCATGGTGACCCTAAACTTTTGGAAGAACAAATCGATTTGCTCAGGGAAAGTTGTGAATCATTACCGCGACCTCTCTGATAATGATAATGATCTGTCTGGCCGTTCTCTTTACCAGTTGCCATTGCATCAATTCCGGCGTGTGATCAGTACCTTTGAGAATATGGATAATATAGATTCAAATATTTGTAGATATCCGTATTTTAATTGCTTTGAAAGGTGCTCTAATATTCCTAAACCTGAGTTCTTTGAGGTGCTTTGGCCACCACTCTACGCTGTCGTATGTTAAGGAGGTTTTGAGGCGTCATTAACCTGCGATATCCAAATAGGTTTTGAGGTGTTTTGGTGCATTTTGGCCTTCAATATTTTATTTAAGAATGAAAAGCTCCAGATATGAATAGAAATTGTTAGTCAACAAATAATCAACGTTTCAAAATACGAGTCTTTTTACCTTGAAAAACAAAATATTAGAGGACAAAATGTTCTCCAAAAAAGAATTAAAGGCTAAAATGAGTATTTAGTTAAACACTATGGGTCTTTTTGTCCTTAAAATTGAAACGTTAAAAGTTAACATATTATATAAGAAAAATAAGTATCAAAATGATAATTCAATCAGACATTAAGAATTTTTTTTATAACTATTTATTGCTAGTTTTTACTTCTTAGCCCAACATGTTTGAATGACCATATACACTTATGACTCACAAGTAATCTTTTACTCTCTCCTTATTCCTAAATGATGTGAATTTTTATGTTTAATGATTTTATAAGACCTGATTAATAATGTGGTGCTATTCTAAGTTTCTAATGTGTCTTGTTTTTCCTGCTTTCATTGTATAAATTTGTATTCCAAAAATTTTTAAACATCCTGATTAAATTTGTAAGTCTTTATTATAGAAAATAAAAGATAATGTAAACAAGCATCCTGATTAGATTCAAATGTACCCTTTGCTAGTTGAAGGAAAAGTAGGATTATAAAAATTCATATTTTATTGCATGTTGAATTTAAAAAGACCCTAATGAATGCTCTCAAGGATCCCAAATTTATTTAATCGATTTCCAAACAATTATTTCAAAAGAAACAGTATTCGATGAATTTAAAGGTTGAATTTTCAACGTAAAAGTTAAAGACAATATCTACTTTTGTGGGTTCTTTAAAAAGATTAAATTTTGTTAAAGTTATTTTGATCAAATTTAAACCACATATTCCGTTAATATTATAGAATGAATATACGTGTAACTTCAATTCCTATTATTAACTATATTTTTCTCTTTTTCTATACTCCAATCAATAATTTTTTTACCAACAATTAAATAATTTAGTAGAATGATATATTAGATTTCTTAAGTAAGGTTAAGACTTTAAATCCTAACATTTACGGATAAACTTGAAGATTCGCCCCATAACATGGCTATACAAGATGCCCATCGTTTAACCAAAAAAAATAATTTATCCTGAAACTACAAGAGGATTAGTTCACCACTCATAAAATTAAAAGAGGATTATAATATCACAACTTGGATCTCAGTATGGCAGACATTGTCACCGTCATTCCTTGCTTTTTCTCTGTCATCGCTCCAAGACTATGTTAATGAATTAGATAATCTCACTTTTATAATATTAGTGAGGATTTTTTTCGTACGTGCTTAATTATATGTTTTTTATGTATTAATTAAGTGATTTCAACAGTTAAAAGGATGATTGTTTTTTTTAGAGATCTCGAGTTCAAACACTAGTTATTACAAGGTATTTAAACGTTCGTTATTAAATGGTTAAGAATCTTTAGAACATATAATACCCTTTACAATCACCTTAAACTAATAATTTTTTTATGTATTAATCATTTGTAGATTATATTACAAGAACAAATTGTATATATGAAGACATATTAATATATGCCACTTTTATTTAAATAATATTACAATCACATTTTAAAAAATAATTATTTATTATATATATTATAGATAATTAACTAATAAAAAATACTTCCACAGTGTGACGTATACTAAATTATCTATTTATTTAAAAATTATTACCTGTCATAAGTTGAATGAAAGAAAGGAAGTTGAAATATAAGGTATGAAATAAACGTTTGTTTTCTTTTTGACATAATGGAATAAACAACAAACGTTTAAATTCAAACTAAATATACAAACAATTTGACAAACTCATGACAGCTTTTTTTCAAAGTTTATCCTTTCACTTTTTAAATTATCAATAGTTAACTTTTTAGACTCGATAGATTTAACGAATTACAGTAAAATTACATTTATAGTATAAATAACATCTTTAAAGCGTAATAAATAACAATAAAATTTAAACGAGTAAAGATAAAATCTTAAGTAACTGAATATAATAAAATATGTTTGGATTTAATTTATCGAAGAATGTTTTGAAAAATTTTACTGTAATTCGTTAGGTATGATTGTATCGCATAGTCCGGATATAAAGGGTTATACAATATCTAAGGATAAAAATGGTTTGAATATTTAGTCATGAGTTGGAAAACAAAAGGTTGGAGCATGTTAGCTCAATTATTCCAAGTTATTATATACTATAAATAAAGTTTAGTCTAATGTGCAATCCAGAAAGAAGCAAAACACGTATATACTATTTTTTTTATGTGCATAAAGCGTTTGTGTGTATATATATATATATTGATAAATATCCGAGTCTCTTGTTGCTTATTTAAGATGTGGCAAATGAGCCTAATAGATCACATCTCACTCACCTACCATGGCCACTACCCATCAGCCTCTATTAGACAAACCAAGAACCTCTTACACCAAGATTCTCCTAATTTTCACCTTGTTTGCAATCACATGCTCAGCTGCTTTTGTTACTGTTCGTTTGGGTCGATTTGGTTCCAATTATCCTGTTTTCCCACATCGATTTTGTGAGAAAGCTGTTGACAAGACATCATGTTCGGCTTTGCTGTCGGAAATGGCGTCGAATACGACGTTGGAAATGAAGGGTGTTGGTCTACTGCAAACCCTGTTGGAGCAATCTATAGTTCGTATGCGAAACGCCATCGATGTGGCGAACAACTTCAAGCACCGGATCAACAATCCCAGACAGCAAGCAGCTTTGGTTGATTGCATGGAGTTAATGGAGTCATCCATGGATAGGATCATGGATTCCGTGGCGGCCGTGAAAATGAACGATGTCACTTCCCGTTCGAGTGCTCATTCATGGCTAAGTAGTGTGCTCACTAACCATGTCACATGCTTGGATGGCCTAGAAGGGTCAGCTCGGACCCTTATGGAGCCTGCGCTCGATGACCTGATATCGAGAGCAAGAGCTTCACTGGCAATTTTTGTTTCTTCTTCTCCAAGGAAGACGAAACTCGATGATCCGTTGATCAATGGATTCCCATCATGGGTCAGCAGAAAGGACAGGAAGCTGTTACAGTCTTTGCCTAATGAGATAAATCCCAATGTTGTGGTGGCCAAAGATGGGAGTGGCAAGTACAAGTCACTAGGGGAAGCTGTTGCAGCTGCCCCAGACAAAAGCAAGACCAGGTACATAATCTATGTGAAAAAGGGTATTTACAAAGAAAATGTCGAGATAGGGAAAAACAAGAAGAATCTGATGATCGTCGGTGACGGAATGAGTTTGACGATTATCACTGGCAGCCTAAATGTTGTCGATGGATCCACCACCTTCAGATCAGCCACTGTTGGTAAAGATCTCATCCTTATGTATCCTCACTATCTGTTTCATTAGTTGATGTTAAATGTTAATTCTTTTCTATATGGTGCCAAAACAGCGGCCGTTGGAGATGGATTTATGGCCCAAGATATCAGGTTCCAAAACACAGCAGGGCCACAAAAGCATCAAGCAGTAGCCCTTCGTGTCGGAGCCGATCAATCAGTCATAAACCGGTGCCAAATTGACGGTTACCAAGACACACTTTACCCACATTCCAACCGCCAATTCTACAGAGATTCCACCATTACTGGCACGGTCGACTTCATATTCGGTGATGCAGCCGTGGTGCTCCAAAACTGTAAGCTCGTGGCAAGGAAGCCAATGGACAAGCAATCGAACATGGTTACAGCACAAGGCAGAATAGATCCGAACCAGAACACCGGCACCTCGATCCAAAGCTGTAACATAATAGCAAGTTCTGATCTTCAACCAGTCAAAGGCTCCGTCAAGACATATTTGGGACGTCCATGGAAGGAGTATTCGAGAACTGTGATTATGCAATCATTCATTGATAATCATATTGATCCTTCAGGGTGGTCAGTTTGGAGTGGGGATTTTGCACTGAAGACATTGTACTATGGCGAGTACATGAATAAGGGACCAGGATCAGGAACTGATAAACGAGTGAAATGGCCTGGATACCGCGTGATTACCAGCGCAGCAGAGGCTAAAAAATTCACAGTGGCCGAGCTTATTCAAGGAGGATCTTGGTTGAAACCTACTGGAGTCACATTTACTGATGGGCTGTAAACATAAATAGCTAGGGCTTGGGATATTTCAACTTGTTTCTGTTTTTGTCTGAATAAGTGAAGTGAAAAGCTCCCTTTCATCTCTGTCAGTGTAACATGAGTTTTCTAGTTCAATGAAAAGCTCCCCTTCATCTTTTTTCAACTACGGCACCATTAGATTCTTAGGTGAAGGAAATCTTAAATACAAAGACCTTAAAGAACAGAATTTTGTTAAAAGAAAATGAAAATTGTGTCTTTATATCCATATAAATTGTGACTTCATAAAACTTCTAGTACAAAAACAATAGTTTTTTAATAAAATATTAATATTTATAATTTAGAAATAAATTTAAACTTAAAACATCCTAACCGTCCTATAAAAAATATGTTAATTATTTGCCCCTTAATATTGATATTCTGGTGGGTACAACTTACAAGTTCTTGTGGTTAAAGTAAACAAAATAGTGTTAATATGACATCTTCAAGCTGAAACTGCAATAGTTGTTTATGAACTGCAGGCCCGCATTTTAAGAAGAGCAATACATCAAATTTTCGAAATGAGTAACCTTAATACGACATTAAATACCCAAGCTCTCTGAACATCAGTAGATTAAAACAATAAACCAACAACAAATATTTGTTCACAAATCTTGTGTTTCTTAATCAAAACTAACCGAGCTACACCCATATCTTATTTTCACCCTTTTGTTTTTCTCTTCCTACTAATGCCCTTTGTACGACCCTCTCTTCATCAAACTTCATTTTCTTCTTCTTTTCTCTTCCCTTGTTTGTTTCTCAAGAAAGACCCCCCCTTCTGTATTTGATTTCAAGTTCCAATGGCTTGTAAGATCAAAGGCATCTACAAAGGATTCAAATCAATTTCCCATTTGTTTGGTGAGTTTCTTTTTGTCTCTCATTAAATTTACGATAAATATGAATGTATTATATTTGAATACATTTTTTCTGGGTGGGGTTTTGATTGTAGTTGTGAAGAAGACCGAGATGGAAATTGGGCTCCCCACAGATGTTATACATGTGGCACACGTTGGTGCCGATAACTCTTCCACTAGTGCTCCCAGTTGGGTATGTTCAATCTTTTTTATTCAATAACTACAGTTTGGATCGTCTAAATTGAGTTCTATTTATCATGACTTTGCCTCGTATTCAATACAGATGAATGAATTCAAGCTTGGTCCTTATAAAACAGCAGAATCAACCGGCAACACCATAGTTTCTCATCCTATAGCTCTTTCAGCACTGTCCTCTCAAGGTATGTTTTTCCTACCTCAGTGGTAAAAAGAAATACTGTTCTCTCTGAAGGTCATTGGTTCGAACAATTATGTCTACAGGGTGTATGCGTTCGGATCATTAATAACCTATACGACCTTGTTACAGGTATTGATCAATCAGTAGGATCTGAACCAGAAACAGAGAATACGGGAAAACAGTCTTGCACTGATCTTTCAAATGTTACGGAGAAACGAAAAAGGAGAAGGAAGAACACTTCCATTGCTGAGTCTTCTTCCTCGAAATCTCAACGATTGTCAAAGACGAAGGAAACATCTACTCAATTGGGTTCGTCAACGAACTTCAAAATATAGAGATCATCGTACATTATTATTTCTTATTAATATATTTAAGATTCTCAAGAACACGACAAAGTCGAAATCAATTTCATTACTATTATGTTACAGGTATTGATCAATCAACGGGATCTGGACCAGAAGCAGAGAAGATGAGAAACCAGTCTTGCATTGATCTTCCAAATGTTAGGGAGAAAAGAAAAAGGAGAAGCAAGAGAACTTCCACTTCTGAGTCATCTTCCTCGAAATCTCAACGATTATCGAAGACGAAGGAAACATCTACTCAATTAGGTTCGTCATCGACTCAATCAGTTTGACTTCAAAATATAGAGAGTATCATGCATGATTATTTCTTACTAATATATTTAAAATTCTCACAAACACAATAAATTTGAAGTCAATTTCATTAATATTTTGTTACAGATATTGATCAATCAATGGGATCTGAACCAGAAACAGAGAAGATGAGTAACCAATCTTGCATTGATCTTCCAAATGTTGCAGAGAAACGAAAAAGAAGAAGAAAGAGCTCTTCCATTGCTGACTCTTCTTCTTCGAAATATAAACGATTATCCAAGATGAAGAAAATATCTTCTCAACTGGGTTCGTCACTAGACTTCAAAATATAAAGATCATCATGCATGATTATTTCTTATTAATATATTTAATATTCTCATTAACATAAGAAAGTCGAAATCATTTAAACTTTGTTACAGATATTGATCAATCAATGGGATCTGAACCAGAAACAGAGAAAACGAGAAACCAGTCTTGCATTGATCCTCTAAATGTCACGGAAAAACGAAAAAGAAAGAAGAGAACTTCCCTTGCCAAGTCTTCTTCCTCCAAATCTCGACCATTATCAAAGACGAAGGCAACATCTACTCAATTGGGTTCGTCATCTACTCAATTCGGTTCATCACCAGACATTAAAATATAGAGATCATCATGCATGATTATTTCTTATTAATGTATTAAAGATATTCATGAACTCAACAAACTCGAAATTAATTTAGTACTATTTTGTTACAGGTATTGATCAATCGATGGGATCTGAACCAACAACAGAGGAGATAAAAAATCAGTCTTGCACTGATCTTTCAAATGTTACGAAGAAATGAAAAAGGAGAAAGAAGAGAACTTCCATATCCAGATCTTCTTCCTCAAAATCACGTTGATTGTTGAAGATAAAGGCAACATCTACTCAATTGGGTTCATCATCAGACTCCAAAAAACATTTGCCTATTGCTTTTGAGCTTTATTTTCAGTGTGTAATTAAGTAATAAGTGGAGAATACTTAAAGGGAGAATAATGAGGTTAAAATATATACGAGAAAATGTTTGCAACTAAGAGGAGTTGAATTGAGGTTAAAACGTCTATTGTATTGAATGTAAATACTAGAATCTTCTCTTAGTAAAGCCTGTAGAAAGAATTTTGATATGAATAGTGTAAATAAATATTACAAAATTATAATTAATATTATAAAATTAATAAAAAGTTATAACATAACAATAATAAAAAAATTATGTATTTGATTATGATGTAGATTTATATTTTTGGTGTTATTATTTTTAAAGGAGTATTAATGATAAATTTATTATTATAGTTTAATTTTAAAAGAAGTCAAAGGATTTTAAGTTGGATTTTTTTAGTTTGAGGTTCGATATAACAAATATCAAATTTGAGTTCATGAGGATAAAAAAGAGTGAGCTGAAAGTTTTGGAGACGACAACTATGATTGGTACCAACCATCAGTGGCTGGCGATGAAGGTGGTGAGTGGTGGTCAGTGATCAGAGACTTTGGTTGAATTCAATGATTAAATTGATATTTATCTAAATTTTAGAGGTTAAAATGATATTTCATTTAAATTTTAAATAACCAAAGTGTAGCAATCAATAACATAAGTTAATAAACCATGGCGTAAATGACCAAACGTAACATTTTTTAATCTGATGAAAAAACGAATAAATATGAAAGGAAATGATCAATAATTTACCCTTTCTTTCAAGTAGTTTTCATAATATACAAAATGGATAAATTTTGGAATAAGCCACCAAAATTTATAGATTTCTCTAAAATGGTATTGAACTTTTCAAACTTCACACTTTAACCCTTAATTTTTCAAATCTTTCAATTTATTCCATAAATTCTAAATTTTATCAAATAAAACCTGAAATTCATATTAATTCATTTAATAATTTCATTTTATTCCCCTCAAAATTTGAAATTTCCCTTTCTAATCTCATATTTTATTTTAATCTCTATAGTACAATTCAAAAAATTTCTTTAATATGACTAATATGTTAATCGAGGCGTGACACAAAATTTTCTCCAATCTTCCTCTATGTTATTGATAGAATATATAAATACTAGAAGTAAAATATGTTATTAACGAAATCAATGTCTATATCGTTAGTGACGGAATTAAAAGTTTTTGGGGTTGGATAGACAAAATAACATCATCTTAATAGGAATTAAACTGAGAAAGTTTATTCACCACAAAAGAGAGAGATTGTTTGAAAATGATAGGTACTGAAGTCTTCCAAGAACCTGACGATATAAATTGGCATCAGCTGAAGGACAACCATCTCAAATAGTGAGAGCTGCACTAGAACTCATCGGCATCTGAACTGGTTTACAATTTTCCATGTAAAACTCAACAATTAGATCAGAGATTTATTTTTCTTGAGAAAGTATAAGTCTGTTCGATGTGGGAATGACTTCAATACCTAAAAATATAAGTGAGTCATCCAATATCTTTCAATGAAAATCTGGACTCTGAAAACAATAATATCTTCAATCGAAGAAGAGTATGTCTCGGTTATGATAATGCCATCCATGTATACCAAAATTCAGATAGTTTGGCATTCATGGTTATAGATAAATAAAGATAAATCAAATTTGGATGTTTGAAAATCAATTTGAATGAGATAATTCTTCGGCTTAAAGTATCAAGCACGTGACGCTTGTTTAAGATCGTAAATGGCCTTGTTCAGTTTATACACATGTAGGGTAGTCACGATGCTCGTACCCATAGGTGATTGTATTTATATGGTTTCAGTTAAATATATAACACTCTAAACTTGCAAGAATCAAGCGACCTTATTGGTAAAAGAATTGTTGTTATTCTTTGAGGTCTCAAGTTTGAGCAACATGAATGCTAGAGGTGTGAAGGTTCAATGTCAAATGATTGAGGGTTATTTTTTTTAAAGAGATACTCGTATCCCATTTCACATCACATTCTTCGTCATTTTTACCACGTTTAGCTAAACCAACTTGTTAAAATTTGAATTTGAATCTTTTAGGCTTCTTCGGTATTGAAAAGTGTGAAAACAGCCGTTGTTACAAGGGGTAATATAGGATCCAATACACGAGTCATGAGTCATGAGTCATGAGATAGATCATGAGATAGATCATGAGATCAAAAAAGTTTGATTCGCACTTTTCGTTTTGATAACGTTACTGTCGACGATAGATGATACGATGGCCGATGATCAATCGATGCAGCGGATGATGATATGATTTTAGAAACGCGGAGAGGAAAGAAAGAGCAAGAAAGAGAATAAATATGGAAATTAGATAAGAAAAAAAAAAGGAAAAGGGTTTATATACTACCTCAAAAGTCAAAACTACGCCGTTTTGAGGGAAACAGTGGAATTCCAAAATAATATCGTTTTGGCACCGGATCCATGACTCAAACCTGGACAGTTGAGGATCTATGCATTTTTTTACTAAAAAAGAATAATTACATGTTCAATCCCTCATAAGTTTTTTACATTAAATTTAATCCATAACTTTATAGATTAATTGTTATTTTGATTATGCCAGCTTTCAATTTTATCAACTGAATCTCTTAAATTATTATTTAGTAATCACGAATTTTTTTTATGATGAGAGGGGCTACAAACGGAAATGAGATTTTATATCTTTAAAAAAAATGTTAGCAGCTCAAATCAATGGCAAGTGATGGCAAAGTTTGGAGCTAACGATAGTACACCTAGAATTTTGAAGTGGTTAATGAATTTTGTAGATGTGATGCCTTATTTGTCAAATATGTATGCATGTTATGGTGTGATCTCATGATGTGACCACTAAGATACACATTATCTTTTATCAATCGAATCTATTTACATTATCAACCTATGCATAGTCATTATGATCTTAGGTTTCATACCAGAGCTAAAGGTTTATATATAAACTATTATTTATGACAAGATATAAAAGGTCCTTCTCTCTCATATTCTTCATCTCTCGAAAGAGATAAATTATCTATAGCCGTTATAACTCAAATATTATTATCAACAATTGAAGATGACTTGTTAATTTGTATATATATCTATAATTTTAAAGGTATATTTTTGTTTGTTATTAGTTTATTCTCTTTTTGAGAGTTTATTTAAGGTTATTGAGTATAAAATCTTAAGGATATAGTAGTGGGTCTAATTTATCTTTAAAAGATAGAGAAATAACATTAATTCCATCTGCTGCATCAAAATTTTCGATTCAATGTATCCTCCATCTTCTTCCTGTCAACTTCTTCCTCGTTTATTTACCCTATCATATGCACTTAACACTGCAACAATTCGTTAATGGAAGTCCCAGTGTTACAAACCGTTTCAATTTCACTTCCAATTATCTTTTAAGATCAAACAACTGTTTGCTAAGATAACCAATTGTTTTATCTCTGAGTTTCCACCTTTTGATATGAAAGTTTCATGGAAAGTAGTGGCCTTGTTTCTGTTACATTCAACAAATCATTTTTGTTTAGCCCAAGAAGATGGTTCTGATTCTCATCCTACACTTCCCAAGGAGCAGGAGAGCTGTAAAGGGATATTCATTATGTACAATTTCATCTCTCGAGAAAAAGAGTATCCCCGTGAGAAGAATGCAACAGTTCAATCATGGGCGTTCAACTCGAGCGCCACCATATTGAACATGGGGACAGCCGAGTTGAAGGCCTGGAAGATCTTCATTAAGTTCCAATACAAGGAGATATTAGTTTCGGCAGATGGTGCAGTTTTAACGAACAGTGACGATTTCCCGGCACCAGTCGGGAACGGAACTTACCTCTCAGGATATCCTCAATCCGGTCTTGAAACGTCGATCGACACCGCCAATGATTTTGGAAAGATACAGGCGAAAGTTAAACTCAAAGGCACGCAGTTCTTTCTCATGTCAGCTAGGAATCCAATGCCTGAAACAATCGAACTTGTAAATGATGGATACAAATACCCTTCACCGACTCATAAAAGTGAGTGCTCAGAACCCCTTTTTTTAACCTTTGTTTCAACACTTCCCCTTCGATTGCTTAACTTTTGTTGTTCATCAACAGGTTCTTCGATGTACGTATGTTGTGTTGAGGACAAAAGGCTTAAAGCTAATAAAACAACAACAAAGTGTGACCTTTTGACTGCACATGATGTGACACAAGCCTACGTAAACAACTACCTTGTGCAGGTAACGATCGAGAACAAGAACGCTTTGGGGCGTCTCGATCATTGGAAGTTGAAATGGGAATGGACAAGAGGTGAATTTATAGACACACACAAAGGTGCTTATGTGCGTGAACTTGATACTTCAAACTGTCTAAATGGTCAGGCTCGGAATTACTACCAGCAAATGGATTTTTCTAACGTTTTGAACTGCAAAAGAACCCCATCATTTTCAACTTACTGCCGGAGAAAGCGAACAACACTCGGATGAGGAAGATACCGTACTGTTGCAAAAATGGTACCCCTTTGCCGACCACCATGGATGGAACCAAATCAAAATCAGCTTTCCAAATGCAAGTCTATAAACTTCCACCTGATTTGAATAGAACAGTTATATACCCTCCTCAAAAGTGCAAAATTGTAGGGGTTCTTAATCCATATTACAAATGTGGGTCACCTGTGAGAGTTGAGCCTTTCAAGTTCCCTGATCCATCTGGTCTTGAGGCT